TCAAAGTGGTATATAACTAGCCATCGCAAACCACTTTCAAAGCATTAAAAGCAAAAGAAGAATTCTAATTAAACAAGAAAATAAATCAGAATAATCTTTTACCTTACAAAACAAAAACTCTTTAATATCCGTCAATTTAATTCAATACACATAAATTCGAAATGGGTTCACGTCTCTCTCGACACGAACAAGCAAGATTGTCATTCTCAAGAAAATCAATTCAATCTAATGGATCTCCACGTAAATCTTACGACTCCGCTCTTAGAAAATCCGCCGAAGAGAAAATTAATGGAAGAGACCATGCATACAGGGAAGAAAACCCAAAATTCGCCATTCCAGAATATACGCAAGGAATTCCACGTCTAGAGGTTCAACATTATCTTATGCGATATCTTTATCAAGGGAATTTTTCTTCGCCGCGAGACGCTCTCAATTACCAAGATAGTCGTATTCTTGATTTCGGATGTGGCGCTGGCACATGGGCAATAGAAATTGCTAAAGAATTTCCTAACTGTGAAGTGACGGGTGTCGATATCTCTACTTTCTTCCCAATTAACAATGATACACCAAATGTCAAGTTTCTTGAACATAATTTCCAAGAAAATCTTCAGCTACCATTCGACGACAATACTTTTGATCTCGTTCATATGAGATTTTTATTAGCGGACGTGAAAGAGAAAGATTTTGAAAACGTATTAATTCCAGAACTTATAAGAGTAACTAAACCGAATGGCTGGATTGAACTACTCGAATTTGATGTCCAACATTTCAGTGATGGACCAACTACACGTCGATTAACTAATGCCTGTAAGTATTTTCTTCATTAATTTTTTTCTTAAATATTTATTCCAAAACAATTCTTCTTATAGTTTTTTTTTTTGACTATTCATACAGTAATGAAACATCTGCGATCGAATGGCTACAACGGTCAAATAAGCGATAATCTTCCACAATATCTAAAGAAAACACAGCAAACCGACGTTATTAAGCAACATGATAAAGCAATAGCACTAGGACGCTGGGCAAACAAAGTCGGAGAATTGGCAATCGATGACATTTCGAGACTATTTAGTGATAACAAAGAGCTTCCACGCACAATGGGAATCACCGATGAAGAATACCAAAAACTAATAGAAGCATACAAACAAGAAGTAGAAACTAAACGAACCTTCTTCCGAACACATCGATTCTACACACAAAAAATTGAGAAAGTACCACAACCAAAAAGC